CCCCCCCCGGCTGTTCAGTTAACATGCCATAATTTTGCAACTAGCCATGTGCTTTGTTGCAACTTTAACTCTTGCATTTCCTGGCTTATTTTTACCTTATGCTTCATATAGGTTGTTTGGTTTATTTTTTGTATTTAACACACACAGTTTTAGTGTCTCATCAACAAAGTCCTCTCTGAGACTAGGATTTACACACAGTTTTAGTGTCTCATCAACAGAGTCCTCTCTGAGAGTAGGATTTGGGTTTAAATGACATGAGATGCAAATTTGAGTAGATTCAGTGCACGGTCAAATCCCTCTAATTTAAGGATCATTGACCTTGCTCCAGTGTGACCATCAATGTATCATTCATCCAAGAGAGCAGAAAGGAATGTTCTCTTCTGGAGAGTCGAGTAAAGGCTTGCTTGTTTGCTGCTGCAGTTTTGCTCATGACAACTTACTGTCATTTGCAGAGTTAGGATATTACTTTGGTCCTAAGTAGACTGGTAATATTTTCTTTCTAATATAATAACTGGTTGAATGCTTGTGAAAAAATGAGTATATACATTTTGCGCTTGGTGGCCTCCAAAGGCAAAGTGTATTAAGAGAATTCATCATTTTTATGGGAGTGTAAAAAGTATTTTATTTTAATCTCCCTGAAAAAAGATATATAAATATATACAAATGTAAGCCTTTAATATAGTGGAACCCTTGGAGGTGCAGGCATCTGCCCTTGCTGATCTCACTGCAGCAGTGTGTCTGAAATGTGTTATTGTAGGGCTGGAACGAACCGTTTTGCCACAGCCCTGTTGTGGGGGAGCAATGCGGAATTGTGTTGCCCCGAGGAGATCATTGCAAGGTACGATTTGGTTTCCTCTGTGCAGGCAGCCAGACAGGTGTGTGTGTGTTATAGGGGAAGAAGTGAGAGGTAGGTATGTGAATGATGTCAATGGCCCTGTGGAGGGAGCAGCTAATATTTTTATTGGAGTGTATGGTTTGAGTTTGCTGATGCTATAGGGATACTCTGATGACAGAGGAAAGCCCTGAAAAATTCCCCGTTTTCACATTTCCAGAATTTAGTTCCCAGTGGCCTGTAATCACGGAAGCCAGACTTGTATGACATCATACCTCACTCTCCACTCACTGGTTTGCTTTTATTTAAAAATGAATAGCATGCTTTCTGTAACTTAATAGAAACCCCATTCTTTTCATTAGAGACTTTAACGATTAGATTTTCTCCAGGTATTTTTCTAAGTATTCTCATCTACTTTGATGTAATATATGCATATAATTATCTCTTTGACTGTAGTTCACTTTGTTCTCTATGTCTATATTTTTTAGGACCTTTGAAACCAGAAATTACCATAACTTACATTGCTGTTTCAGCTATATTCTTTAACAGTGGACTCTCCTTAAAAACTGAGGTAATGTAATTTCTCATTGCTTCATTCTTGTTTTGCTTTGAAAAGTTTTGCGTTGCTTTTGATCAGGTTTGAATGTAACTGGAATATTTAATTACTGTGCTGTTGTTGTTGATACTGGGAGAATGGCTAATAAGAGAAGATAGACATTTATAGAATAACCCCTCCTTGATTTCAGAAAATTCTTCACAAAGTAGTTGAACGTGATGAGAAGGAGAGTGTGAATAAATTTCACCCATCCATAGAGGTTGGGTTGTGTGGCTTTGCAGGGCTTTGACTAAATGGAGGCACAATTTTGAGACTGGGGCTACACCCTGGATGTGTCCCTAACCCAAATCAGGGTGAGACCCGGGAGCACGCTACCACCTGCCTTCTGCCACCCCTTCTGCACCTTGGCTTCCCCACTGCTTAGTTGAGATACAGGCCAGAAACTGTGCGGATCCTAGGGTAGAACTTTGTAGGGAACTAGGCAGAGTGGGGCTATTTGGAGTCTCCATGCCTCTGTAGGACACGAAAAGAAGGTGTGAGCTCTCTGTGCCTCTCTCCTTCATCTCACCTGCTGGTGTGCTTTCTAAGTAAAACTGTTTAGGCTAGTCATTACAGGATTGATGCAAGCAAAGATGTGGTGGCTTTAAGTGACCACATTGGGTAGGCGCAGGATAGCAGCTAGTATCAACACAAAAGGGTTCCTCTGCAGATGCAGGGCCAATATGCGGGTCAGAAGTCTTGGCAATCTTTTCCTATAGGATTTAGTTGTGGACAGGTGGACTTGAAGTCCCTGCACTCTGCTGCATATCACAGACACTGAGACTTTTTTCAGATTTTGTCACGCATTTTTTGAAGAGGAACAATCTGGGAGTAAGAAGAGGTGAAGGGGAGAACCTCTTAGTGATGTGTAAAGGAGGCATGGAGAAAGGAAATGATGGCTATGTGCCAAGAAGAGAAGGAGCAGCCAGAGTTGAAGTGAAACACTGCATGTCTCTGCTAGTTTAGTTTCTTGATTCCTTTTAGACTGTTGGCTGTGCTAACAGGTGATGTCATTCATATGTTGCATGATACTAATGCCTAAAAGAATCATCACGATATTGTCTTGTTATCTTCTGGGCAAACTGGGATTTGGATGAACAGCCTGCATTCAACAACAACAAAAAAATTCCTATACCTGTATCATAGTTATAGTAATAAAGTTTCAAATGGAGGTGGTGTTTGAATTGATGACAGCCCTCTACCTTCTGTATCTGCTGGCAGTTCTGGCACTAGGGCCTCTAGTTCTGCTGGGACACACTATAAGTGAAGTGAATAATTTTAGTCAATTCTGTAGCAGTTATTTAGAGCCTTGTGGTGTTACGGGGAAGCAGGAAGAACCATGTTATCTATTTGCCTGGGACAGTAATTAATCCTAATGGAAATAGGCTGCAGAGAAGCACTTTCTTCCACAGAGAAGAGGACCCGAAACACAAAGCCTGAGTAGTACTAATGGAGTGGAGTTTTCTGCTTTCAGGGTGAGAAATCTTTGCATGCAGAGAAAATATGTAAAACTTCTTTCCCTTTCACTAGTTTGTATCCTTGAAGCTTTATATTTGTAAAGCATCTGTGAGTGAGAGTGAAATCAGTAGCATTGTCAAAGTCTTGATTAGATTTTCAATGCTAGTGTACATCTAACTTTTTCCAGTTAAGGTGACATGACTGACAGGTTCCTGGGCAATGTGTCATGTCCTACTTTGAACTTGCATAACTTTTTTTCATCTGTGGTTCTTAAAGCTATATATTGATGTAAATGAAGCTTTTACAGGAGCTGATGTTTATGTCCAGGTAGGTGATCTCAGATTGTTTTGGAAACATCAGTTAGGACTGGTGCTGTACACCCAGCTTTATGTTCCATTAAGAAGCTAAGCCTTTTATGAATTTCTGCTGTGGGGGTAGAAGATAAAGAGGAAGAAAAACATTTCACTCGTTGTACCTTGTGCTATTACTTTCTAAAACGTATGTTAAAAACAATCCTTAAATGTGCTAGTAGGAGGCCAGGTCATGATTTTATTAAAATACTTTGGGGTGTGTTTTGATTGTTTAAGGCACAACCTAGAGTTGGTATTATTAGTCAGTTAATATATCTTTTTATTGGATTGCAAAGTAAATTGTTTCTGCTTTTGTCTTTATTCGTTCTTGACCTGTGTGTCAGCCGTTCTACCTTGGAGAATATATTAGTTAGATTGAAACTAGTGTTTGGTATGCTTCATGAAATGATAAAAAGTGTGTTAACGGAGGCCTTCTGATAAATCTGACAAAATTAGAAATAGCTGATGCTCTTTTAAGGTTACACTTCTGGTTTTATCTGCTGTGAAAGCGCATGCTCAAAAAAATTTGCTTACATGCATTCAGAAAGCATTTTACAAAATAATTGGCAGCATTCAGGGAGAGCCTGTCTGTGCATGACCTTGTTATGTTTTCAAATCTAGAGGTCACTGAGGTCCTCTTACATTTGTAGAAATACTCTGTGTCCAGGAATGACAAGAGCATTTGATTCCACCTTGATATAATGCTCTTTCAGTTTTCAGAGACTGGATAGCTTGCTCTTTTAAAGCAAATACCTCTTGTAGGGCCCCAGAAATTAAATCACATACTTGAGTTATCCATTTCAATGAGGAATTTGGCAAGCCACTGAAAACACTGTTTACTCTGTGTGGGTATTTGCCCGGAGGAGTCCAGCTATGACCATCTAAGCATGGTTGGATGGCAACACACTGACCAGCGAGAGGCTAGGATAAGCTCTCTAAAGAGTTGGAAATACTGGGAAAGACAAGGTAACCTGTTCTACCTGGTGTGCAAAACCAGTCGTAACTAGCAGCTTCCGGTAACTTTTCTGAGACTTCTGCTTTTTTGAGGGCTACAGTGACGGATGTATTTTGGGACAAGCCCTTGTAGTTTGCTTAAGAGGGTGAAGGCTGTTTGCCTCAGTGTTTGTTCTATGATGATACAGTCTAAGGAATAACTATTCTAAAAGGCAATCACTAGAGACATTTTAAAGACTGGTAATTTAGATCTACAAAGACATGTTCCACTAATACAGCATTCCTTCATGTGCTAGGTTGGTTGTGTTGTAATCTCCTTCCTTGCTCCCTGGAAGCTCTAACAAGTCTTTCCCAAGTTTTTGTCTTGGATTTTGCTTTTGAAAGTATTGCGCAGTTTTCTTCAAATCATCTGTTTTTAAGGCATTTTCCAATTTTAAAAATATTAAATTAAAAGGGCACTTCTGTATGTGTGATGGTGCCTAGATTGGGGGTGTCTTCATAGATTGGTCCAGTAGGAAGTCTGGGCTGGAGGTGACTTGTCAGGAAAGAAGAAGGAATTAGCAGCGTTGCTGAAGGAAGTCACTTGCTTTGGTTTTTCTCAATTGTATTGTTTATTTTTAAAATGTACACTTTTATATGGATATTTCCAGGTATCTTTTCTTCCTGCACAGGATGTGTTTCTACTACTAGATGTTTTATTTTTGCTTTCTTTTTGAGATAAGATGAAATAGTACTACAGTGAAGCTGTTCATAATGCTATTGGTACTGTGACGGGTTATGTGTGAAGAAAGCCTATTTTTTCATGCAGAGTGATACTAGCCTGCTTAAGAGCTTCCTTTATTTAAAAAAAAATGTTATTTCATTTAGTTAACCAAGCACTGAATGTAATGATACTTCCTTGGAAAAACTGGATCAAGATGTATGTTTCAGGTCCATGTTTTATATAACTTTAAGAATAGGATATGAGCGGATGTGTATTTTTTTCCCCTAACCCAAATTTGGGAAATAATTTTATTATGAGAAACAAAGTAACAAGGACACGGTGCTGAATTGCTGGTACTTCCAGATGTATGATTATATCAGTGTGCATTTGGATGGTTGAAAATGCAATATTTGATTGTGTTTCATAAAAGTTGAACTGTTTTGAAGCTGAGAGAGGGTGGCATTTGAAGATCGGCTGCTGCGTTACTGTACATGGAAATAAATTTTTTTTTTAACATTGTTTGGTGTTTTTTTTTTTTAATGCATCTGGGGTGTCAGATAGCTGAAGAATCGTAGCAAAATAGGCTTTGAATAAAAGTGCCATCAGTTCTTTTCCTGTTGCATTGTTTATTTGAAAAAAGTGCAAATTATTTTGAGAGAGAGGAAAAGGAATTTTTTTCTCTTCACTATAAGAGTTGAAATGAGCTGGAATGTACAAGGCTTTTTCCTTGTACTCAAAAACTGTGTAGAAGATCCTTGCAGTGCCCGAAAAGACAGAAATAGAGAGACACAGAGCTAACTGAAAAGTTTATTGCATAAGGATACTTGATCACGTCTCTGGAGTGCTCTTACACTATTTAAAATTAAGGGTTTTTTGTTTTCTCACACTCCAGCAGTGTTTTGCACTTTATTTCTCTGAATTTTGTGGCTTAGTTGTTGTTGGCTTGTTATGGTCTTGATATTCTTTCTTTGCTATTCTTCATCAGCCTAATTTTTTTCTGTAAATTTCCTATCTGTTGATACAATAAATAATCAAAATCTGCTACAGATTACTTTGCTTTTTATGTTTGTTAGTCTTTCCTTAAAAGAAACCACTACAATGATGACTGTTTGTAATGTAAACATCTCTTTTTCACGGTATAAATGAGAATCGCAGTTTGTGCCTCTCTTTAGACTAGAGAAACCTGAAATCATGTGGACACTACAAGTTTCCCTTCCTCTTGATATCGGCAGTCAATAAAGTAAACAGGCTGTCAGCACAGTTAACACAGGTTTTGAAGCAGTGACAAAGTGCTAAGGCTGCCTGCTGAAAAGCTACCGTTATGAGAGCTACGCTATTATTGAAGTGGTGGACAATTCTTTTGGAAAAATGCCCAGGAGCAGACAGAGCTTTTATGTTGTCTGGATTCATTATTAAAGAGGAGATCAGATGATCCCTAAAGGTGCCTTTTTGACATGCACTCTCTTTGTATTATAAAGATGATCCTAGTTTTAAAAGCACAAACGTTATCTTACTTCAGCTGTTATGACTGCAACTTCCTCTCTTCTTTTTCTTTTGCAGGAGCTGACAAGTGCTTTGATGCATGTGAAACTACACCTTTTTGTCCAGATTTTTACACTTGTGTTCTTCCCAACAGCAATATGGCTCTTTCTTCAGCTATTATCAATCACACCTATAAATGAATGGCTTTTAAAAGGGTATGTTTAAGCATAATGGAGTGAAATATATTTGTAGCTGTCTTCTTAAAGGGCTGCGTATCCTGCAATGGGTGTTTTAAGTCTTGTATTGTGAACAGATTGCTGGTTGTTTTTGTGCTTCAGCAATTTGCTGTTGAAAACACAGTACATGCACAAGATTATTCTTTCAGGAACCTGGTCTCATTTTTAAAAAGTCTGGTCAGTTAGTTTCATATGTAGGGAGCTTGCAACAGGTTAGCTTTCTCTTTCACAAAACACAGCTGAAGTGCTGTGCTGGGTCTCAAGGAGGATGGGGAGGAAAGAAAAGAAATGCTGAAGGAAAAACATAAGTCGGTGAATAAACACTGCGTGTGCCACGTACTGGTGTTCCGTTCTGTTTTTAAACGGTCTGTATTGAGCATCTCGCTCATGTGTCCAGATTGGGCTTCAGTATCTCGTCCTAGCTAAATTATGGGGGGAAAAAAAAACCAAAAGAGAGTGAAGTTTTTGTAGGAGGAGAACTTTGAGATGAGCAGAAGCTAAGTTACCATGAAAACAATGTGTTTTAAATCTTTGGTGTACTCTGCCAATGTGTGCTTCCAAAGCTGCATTGATGGTGCAGTAGTGATAGATGTTATGAAAAATCCAAAAAATAAAGTTTTTTTTCAGAATCAAAGGTCAATTCCTAGCGCCATGCAACTATACTGAATGTTTGAATGCAAAAATCAATTAGTTTAGAAAACTACTTAAAGAATCCCCACTGTTTCTTACTGCTTGGTGAAACATTGCTTGGGGACAGTTCACTGTCTTAAAAGTTTAATGATAAAGCTGCTCATGTTTATGTTTTTACAAGGCCTAAACCTAAAAAAGCATTTTGTTTTATTTTTAAGAGGCTTTCCCAGGTGTTCCACTAAGTGTGAAGTGGTCCAAATGATACTGAGAAGGTGAAATTGAGACTACATCATTTAAAAGTTAGCATGTTTTGCCTAACAGTATCAGTACATCAAGGAAATAACAAGGTTGCTATACAATGTCCATTTGCATTTGTCTATTCATAGTAAAGGTTATTCTTTAAAGTAAAATCATTGTGAAGTTTTTCCTCAGCTAGAACAGAGACATGATTTTCCACAGTGAGCCAAAATTCCCTCCAAATCTATGGGAGTCTCAGTTTCTGAGACTGGTGCAAGAGATTTTTGTGGTTTTTTTGTTCCTTGCAGCACTTCTCATCCCTTCTTTCCTATGACTCTTATGCCAGTTTGGTTCTTAGTATTTAAGGGACATGATCTGTTACATGCACAAGAATATGTGTACGTATATACATACACACCTGTGGAACTGCATGTAAAACTACATATGTATGGGTTTTTTTTAAAAAAGAAACACTTGTATGTGTATCTCCCTAAACGTGGAGCCTAAACCAGCCTCATTTTTCATGAAGGTGTGTCTGTGTTTTACCAGTGAGCTAGTATACTTCTATATGTTTTAAGCTGCCTTGCAAGCACTTGTTCCTTGATTACTATTTCTGTTTTGGCTGTGTTTTATCTTTTAGTGCAGTAACTGTTGTATGGAGATGTTGTTCAAAGAATGGTCAGATTGAGGAGTTTAATGAAGGGTCGTTTGGTTTTTTTTGGTTTGGGTTTTTTTGTTTTGTTTTGTTTTTTGAAAGAGTGCTTTCTTGATAAATACTGCTGTTCAGGACATGCTCAGAGCAGCAGCCATTGTGTGGCTCTGAAGGCATCCACTGCAAAGGGAGCCTGGTAGGAGCTGTACCTTTAGTGCTATGCAGGTGCAGAAGATACTGAGTTCTGTTCGAATTCTAGGATAACACATTTTAAAGCAGGTACTCGCATATCCCTATGTGGGTCCATGAAAGCAGATGAGGAGCTGATGTGAGGAACTGCCTGTGCCTTGGCTGCTCTGTGTAACCAGAAGTTCATCATAATGCCCCGCAGCTGTAGTTTTTATTCCTAGAAACACTGAAGCACCCTAATGAAAACAGTGTGGGAACAAGACAGGCTTTAGCAAAGTTACTTACTTATCACATGTGTTTAGCATAGCTTGTAGTGGGAGCTAGTTGATAGTCCTCACAAAGGCCTGGAAAAATAGGCATATGCTCCCAAGGGCGTGCAGTACCCTTTGGCAGGGTAGCTCCCCTGGGGACTGTAGTTCTCCACTACTCTCTACAAAAGGTTATGCTTGAAGGGCACAGTCAAGCCCACAGTTAATTTCCTGCCTTGCTTCAGAATGAATGGTAGATTCTCCCATCCTCTATAATGGTCTGTTCTGCTGTAAATGTTACTTGGGAGGCAGATTCAGATGGTACCAGCTTTTCACCTGTGTTTCTACAGTTGGGTTTTTTTTTTCCCCTCTCTGTCTGGGATGATACTAGGAGGTTTGTTGTTTTGCAATTATGTTGAAATACATAAAACAGAGCAGAAACTGACATCATCCCAAGCATCTTTTAAGTTAATTTTTTTGTTAGCTGACTAGGTTTTGCATTGACAGGATCTCTTTGGAAGGGAGCATGAAGCAACCGCATGAGAGGCAATGGGGTAGCCTTGTATGTTAGGGAGTGTT